CCATAGGCGTAGGAACAGGGGTGGCCAGGTGGGCAAGTGCCCACCCACTTTTCGAGGTGGGGGGGCCAACCATGTGTTTTGGCCCACCCACTTTTTACTCGAGGCCCCTCGTCTCGATTTGAGAGGACGTCGTCACCTTCAAGAATAAACAAACTCGGTAAAAAAAGTTCCACGAATCTTCACGCACGGACTCCAAGGGGCCGTGATGGATCCAAGGAGGCCCTCTGTTCATTCTTGTCAGTCGAAGCCCTGAGACTGATGGCCTGAGAGGCCCTAGTGGATCTGAGGAGGCCCCAATATCCACACTGGTCTGGGGAGGTCCCTGACACTGGCTGTCTGGGAGGCCCCTCTGTTCACACTAGTCAGAGGTCTGAGACTGGTGGTCTGGGAAGCCCCTCCATCCACACTAGTCAGAATAGGCCCCTGACCTGACACTGGCGGTCTAGCCGAGGCCCCCTACCCTCACTAGTCAGAGGAGGCCCCTCTATCCTCAATAGTCAGAAGAGGCCCTTGAGACTGATGGTCTGTGAGGCCTATCCATCTACACTGTAGCCAGAGGAGGCCCCTGAGACTGATGACCTGAGAGGCCCTTATAATCACACCAGGCAGAAGAGGCCCATGAGACTGATGGACTGAGAGGCCCTTCTATTCATACTAGCCACAGGAGACCCCAAAATTTCGGTCTGGGAGGTCCCTCAATCCGGCACCAGTCAGAAGAGTCCCCTGAGACTGATGGCCTGGGAAGCCCTTATATTCACACTAGGCAGAGGGGGCCCCTGAGACTGATGGTATGAGAGGCCCTCATATTCACACCAGTCAGAAGAGGCCCCCGAGGCTGATGGCTGTGAGGCCCTTCTGTTCATATAACTGGCCATTGGAGGCCCCTTAAACCGGTGGTCTGGGAGGGCCCTCTATCCACACTAGCCAGAAGAGGCCCCTGAGACCGATGGTCTGAGAGGCTCTTATATTCATACTGGCCACAAGAGGCCCCTGAGACTGATAGTCAGAGAGGTCCACTCCTAATGAATCTGAGGGGGCCCTCTTTCCACATTTACACTTTTCTAGGGAGGCCCCTGAGACTGATGGTCTGAGAGGCCCTTTTATTTATACTGTCCACAGGAGCCCCCTGAGATTAATGGTCTGAGAGGCTCTTCTATTTATACTAACCAGAGGAGGCCCCTAGGATTGATGGTCTAACAGGCCCTTCTATTTATACTAGCCAGAGGAGGCCAATGAGACTGATGGTCTGAGAGGCCCTTCTATTCAAACTAGGCAGATGAGGCCCCTGAGAATGATAGTCCGAAGAGCCATGCGGCGGCAACTGGCCGTGGCAATATTTCGGCTCGGTAGGGCCCCACAGAGCTCATGAGAGCACCTCAAGGGCTCCTAAGTAGACACGCTTATCCCCATAAGGGTGCCACGCCGGCTTCTGAAGGCTCCTTGTAGGTAGTAGGTATCTAAGGGCCCTTTCCGGCCTCTAACGGCTCCACCCGCCTGTGATGGCTCCCCACCGGTGTTTATGAGCGCCACACAGCGGCGCCTTTGAGAGTCATACTAGTGTCTCTAAGGGCCCTATATCGGTGGCTCTGGTGGCCCCACACCGGTGCCTCCCCACAGAGTCTGTGGGCCACCACACCTGTGAATCTCAAGGCTCTATAGGTACATCTGAAGGACCCACACCGACACCTCTGAGGGCCCCACACCAGTATCTCGGAGCTCTGAAGGCCCCACACCGGTGACTCTGAGGACTCATCGGCTCCTGAGAGCACCATGTTGATGTCTAACGGCTCCACACTGAAGGCACCACATAAGCTCTCACTGAGCTCTGATGTCCATGTACCGGCCTCTGAGGGATTTAAGCCAGCGCATTCATAGCTCCACACCAGCAATTGTAAGGGCTTCACACTGAAGTATCTGAGGGATCCACACCGGTGTCTCTAAGGGCCACATACCGGCATCTCTGAGGGCCCCATACCGGCGTCTCCGAGGGTCCACATCTGGCGGGCACCCATCAGCGACTGAAGGTCCCACACTGTCGACCCCGAGAGCCCCATCTGGGTCTGGGAGCACCATGCCGTCTCTAAGAACCACAGCGGCTCCTCCGTACGAAAGATGGGCGTCTGCATGCCAAAGGGGAGCGGTTCTGAGACAGTAGGGCACCTATGTGCAATAGAGGGGCGCCTATGAAGCCCATAGGGGCGCCTCAAAGCGAAAGAGGGGCGCCTCTGAGGCCTACATATATGGGCGTCCACATGCAATAGAGGTCTGCAAATTGCAATTAATCAATGCCTTGGGGGTGCATTCATAGGAAACAGGGGCGCCGGCATGGCAAAGACAGGCGCCTTCAAGTGTCCATAAAAGAGAGACGCCTATGATAAGCGCATATTGTATGCGACAACGGGGCGACTGTGGGACATATAGGGATGTATCTGATGACTATACATAGGCGCATATATGCCAAAGAGGGCGCCTATGAAGCTAATTGGGGCACCTGGGAAACGAGGAAGACATTTGTGTAAGGGTTTTCAGGGGTCATACGCCGTTTGCGGCAAATAGATTCTGAAAAAAAAATCGGAGGGGAATAAGTTTTAAAAATGTTGCGGACTTTCCGCACTGTTCGCTTAAGCGGTTACGCCCCTGGGTACATCTGCCCGATCTCAGAAGCTAGATTTGGAGGTCATACTTGAAAGCAGCCAGCAGGACGAGGCAAAAGTTGGAGGCCCCTGAAAATAGGAGGCCCCTGGAAAAGGAGGCCCCTTGACAGGGTGGCCCACTCACTTTTCATGGCGTTCCTACGCCCGTGATTGCTTCCATTAGAAAAAATGACTTTTATTAACTCTGAACATTTGCACGAAACTGCCCCACCTATGGGGCACATTCGTTCAAGAGATGGGGCACTTCCGTTCACCCGGCAAAATTCGAGAAATTACCGGGCATTACCAGAAATTTACCAAAGGAAATTGGCAGGGGGTCATTTCACTTGATTCCTTTCGACAAGAATGCATTGCACAACAAATGTAGAAAGAATGGGCTGGCCAACAAGAATGTGCCAACTGCCGGCCTCCGTGACCTCGCCAAGTTCGCGTGAATTGCTCGTCACGACGTCGCAAGCAGTCGAGACTGAGTCAGGCGAGCGTCATTAGAGAAACCTACTACAGATAAAGTCATAAATCGCAAAAACTAAAAAAAATATGCACGAATGTGTCCCCAGGCAGTGCGTACACGAACCTGCCCCACAACGTTATTAGTAATATATTTCAAAATTTCTTTTTGAAAAAATGACACTTTTTCAACAAACAAGTTTGCAGCAGTTCCGTGAATAGAGTGGGCTTCTTCACCCTCAATTTTGAAAAGTTGAACCACATTTCCGAGTCAGGATCACGAAAATGGATGATATGAGAAAATTTTGGAAAGCTCACGAATATTACAAATTTGCGTTTTTATCAAGCATGACAGCAGGTACAGTGTTGTCTTCTACGGTGAACGAAGGGCGGCAATGATAGACATATTTCCATAATTTACCTTGAGCTCGTGCAGTCACTCGTGTTCCCATAAACTGCTGAAAACGAATGTGCCCCATGCACGAATGTGCCCCACTCTCCCCTACATGTCGATTGTCGATTGATTGATTGATTCATTCATTCGTTCATTTAATACATGTCGACATTTAACATACGAATTAACATCCAGGATCAATCCGATCAATCTACCATTTTCATAAGCGTATTGCCTAAATATCATGCATATATGTGGCACAAGACCTATGGTTGCCTCGATACCGTGCCAAATCACGTTTTGCATAATGCACAAGTAAATTATATTCGCTGGGTCTTCCGTGCATTTTGCTAGCAAAAACAGGAATGCAATTGTTAAGCGACGCAAAATGTGCAATGCAGCAAGTGACCACACACACCCGCCCAGCCCCCATGGTCCACCGACCACCAACACGCCCCACACCACTCGCCAACCCACGCCAACCACCGAGACGAGCCCCTCCCCCTCGCGCTGGTCTGACGCGACAGCTGGTCTACAAAGCGCTCCACCCGGCGACCCGAGCCGATGTCAAACGGCGTGGGTAGACTGTGCCGCTTCACTCTCGGGTCATGCGGCACAGCCTACCGGTACCAGGCGGCTGCTGCCTATGCTGAGCCATAGGAACCCGGTGGATAGAGTAGGGGACCATCAACCTGTACATACACGACTGTACGGCTGGCCGCCGCCGCTGCAGCGAGCGGCGGGCGGCACAGCCTACCCGGCGGGCTGAGCGGCGGGCGGCACAGCCTACCCGCCGGGCGCCCGCGCGGTAGGCTCATTGATCGGCGAGCACGTGACCTGACCGTACGCGATGTGGGGTCGGGGGCCGCAGCGGCATGTCACTCTGGGTCGAGAGTCGGTCGGGGCCGGATGAACCGCAGTGTTGGGCTGCTGGTGCGGGACTTCTGGCCCGCTAGTAGCGTTCTTGGCGGATTATTCAATGTAGTTACGTTGGCGGCTGTCGGATGGGACTCTCTTCTTGTCCAAAGCTTCTGGCCAAACTGAATTGGGCGGTCCAAATGGGAAAGGGGGACTGTAGTCTACCCTCTTAACCAGACGTCTTGGTGCCTGGTCCCGGCCACTGCCCATGGTCAATATACTCTGAGTCTTATTGGTCCATGGACAGTCCTCTGCGGAGGTTTCACTTTTAACTCACGGCTTAACCGTACAAGGGAGGTATTTTCACGGGTAGGGTCGGCCTTCTGTCGACCATTCACATCCTACTTGCACAATCGCATTGCACAGTTTGGCTGTATGTTGCCCGTTTTGTTTGGTGCAATAAGAATACGTGAGGAACCAAATTTACAGTCTTTTATTGGTTGCTAGTTGCGACCGGGGCGGGAAGTTACCAGAGATTTAGTGACAATTGGGCCTCGTTCGTAACACTGCACCGGGTCCCAAATCCATACATACCTACAAAATCTCATGGCTGACCCGTGACCGTTCGTTCTGTTTCGGTGCGCCAGCTGAACTTTTCCCGGTCGTCGGGCGAGCCGTCGGCCGGTGAGGTGGTGGACGCGGCGGCGGCGGCGGCCGTGGAGCCGAGCACCGGGGCCGAGTCGACGCGTCACGAGTCCGGCTGCCGGGAGCTGGACCGGCACTCCAACATCACCGTGCTGCGCTGCTACCGGTGCACCAAGCGCTTCGACGACCAGACCAGCCTGTTCGCCCACTGGCGCGACGAGATCAACTGCCACATCGTCTGTCTGTTCTGCCGGGAGGAGTTCATCACCAACGCCAAACACGACCAGCACATCCGGCTGTGTCAGGCGCTCGTGTGCGCCCAGTGCAAGGCGCAGTGCAGCGACTACGCCGAGTACGAGCAACACATCGCCGTGTGTCTGTTCGCGGCAAAGTGCGAGCCGGTCGAGGTGCTGGCGGCGCGCGTGCAGTGCCCCTACTGCGACCGACTCTTCACGCAGATCCACATGTTCAAGCGACATCTCAAGATCATGCACGAGGTGGAGCACATGCAGCGCTTCGGCCTCAAGATCCAGCGCAAGTTCCGTCCGAACGAGCGCGAGTTTCCGTGCCGCCAGTGCGGGCGCACGTTCAACCGCGTCTACAACCTGAAGATGCACCAGCTGTCGCACGGCCGGAACGGCCAGTACCGCTGCGAGACGTGCAACAAGACGTTCCGCTTCCGCTCGAACCTGGAGCGGCACGCCCGCTCGCACACTGCGCAGCAGCACGAGTGCCGCGTGTGCGGCCAGCAGTTCCGGCTGCTGCGCCAGCTGAGAGGTCACATGAACGTCGCCCACGACAAGGACCAGTTCGCCTGCGAGATCTGCCAGAAGAGCTGCGATGGCTACCAGCGGCTGCTGACGCACGCGCGCACCCACCACACGCAGAAGGCCTACTCGTGCGGCGTGTGCGGCCGCGTCTTCAGCACCAAGCACAAGTACAAGGAGCACATGAACGTGCACGACGGCCGCTACACGTACGAGTGTCACATGTGCTCGGAGCGCTTCTTCACGCGCGACCACCTGCGCAAGCACTACCGCAAGCAGCACCCGGAGGTGAAGCGCCTTCCGCGGCGCGCCACCATACGCCGTCCGCTGGACCAGGGGCGCTCCTTCTACGAGCCAACAGACCTGGGGCCGATGATTAACGACACCGTGACGCTGTACCAGGCGAGCGCCGACAGCGGCGACGCCTCCGTGGTCAAGTTTGAGGTGGTGGGCGAGCCGTGCGACCGCCAGGTGGTGCAGACGTTCACGGCCGACCAGACCAGTCAGGAGATGATGGACGGGGGGTACCAGGTGAGGGCGCACGGCCATGGAACGAAGGGGGCTGAATGAGTTATCATTCACATTTCGAACATGCGTTTGTGCTAAATTTGAGCATTGTTTAACAACATTTTCGACATTTTTCATCCTTAGTTCGGTAAACAGGGCATGTATGTCATATGGATAATGGATATGCTGTTATTATTACGTCTTCGATTTAAGCCCGCATAACTGTTTTAATGGAAAAACTAATGTGACATCCGCTCCCCCGACTCCCCTGACTTTTCTGTGGTACACTGTCCAGGTGTACGAGGGCTCGGACCAGCACATTCTTGGCGAGTACACGCCAGTGGCCGAGGGGGACGGGTACGGTACCCCCGGCGCGTGCCACCGGACGGCTGCCGGCCACACGGTCCAGTACTTCCCGGCGCAGCAGCAGGTGAGCCACGCTGAACGGTCAGCGACCAGCTAAAAAAGATCGGCAGGAAGCCCAGTTTGTTGTTGAATAAGATCATATAAGATTTGTCCACTCAATTTCATCCTTGTAGACTGAAGTGATGCTTGCTATGGGATGCCGGTAGCGCTCTCTGCAGCTCGCTGATGACTGTAGTTCCTCCGTCTGCCCGCCAGGTGCCGGACGGTGTGGACGGCGCCGCCACTCTGCTCAGTCTGGAGCCGGCCTCCTCGGCCGAAGTACCTGAGGGTGCCACCGTGATGACCTACATCGTGCCCGAGACAACCTCGTCTCAGTTCAGCGTACAGGACAGCACCTGGGCCGGCGGCAGCCTGTTCCACTTCCCCGGCCTGATCACCCCCGAGAAGGGCGCGGCTGGCGGCGGGCTGTACGCGGCGGCCGGCGCCCCCGGGCCGTCAGGGGCGCCCGCCGGCTCGTCCCTGTTCCTGACGCCGGACAAGGCGCCGCTGGCTCCTCCCAGTCTGTTCACCACGCCGGAGCGGCCGTCGGGCGGCGCGGGCCGGCCGCCGCCGGAGGCCGGGCTGCTGTCCACGCCGGACCGCGGCGGCGGCGGCGAGGCAGGTCTGCTGTACACGCCGGCCGGGCCGGCCGCGTCGCCGCTGGGCTGGCCGGCCGCCGACCGACAGCCGGAGCTGGCACTGGCGCACGGCTACCCGCCGCTGGTGAAGACAGAGGCCGCCGCCGTGACGGAGGGCGGCAGTCCGCGGTACCAGCCGCCACCGCCGCCGCCGCCACTGGCCATCAGCAGCGGCCAGGGCGCCATCTTCACGTCGCCGCAGCAGGCACCGGTGTTCGTCTCCTCGCTGGCCGAATAGGGGACGCGCCGGGCGAGGTGCTGGCGACTCGCGGCAGGCGCCTCTGTAAGCACCAGTATCGCCCGTGAGGGGTAGTGTATAATTACCGTGGGTGGGAGGGGGTGAACAGACGAGTCCGTTGAGAAGTGCCACTGAACCGTCCGGTGAATTACAGTGATGGCTCCGATGACAAGACGATTCTACATTGCATGCGCATTTGTTTTACCTGTAGATACCTTATACGATCGTGTGAGCGAGTTAAGTTGTTGCAGTTTCTGCCATGCTATTTATATTATTTATGACATTGGTTGCACTTCGTTCAAGGTTGGGGCCATTGATTGACCCGTTGATTTTGTTGTCTTTCAATACAGATACCTTCTGAAACACTAGAGATCGCTGCTATCTGAGTCGAACACTACACCGATTCACGCGCGTTTCAGATTTATTTCTTGATTTAGAAAACAACAGCATATAAGATCCACCACACGAGAAGACCATACAACGACGCCAATACTGTTCTCATTGCGCCCAGCGGAGCGAACCCTTGAAAGACGCATCAGACGGGAAAATGGCGTACAAGTGAACCAGACTAAGATTGACCTAAGCATGCTTACAAGAATTCCTCACGGAATAGTGGTATCTACACGTACTAGTTGGGCGAGCGCCCGGTAGGAGGGCCGGCCGCTGCGGCTCTGTCGCGCCCTGCGTGGAGACCGCACGGGTGGGTTGACATTGTATCTCGCAGCCTCGCACAAGGCTGCGGGCCGAATGGCCTCCGTGTCCCTCAGGCTAGATCATTCGCTCCGTCACTCGCACTCATACACCGACTGGCCGGACGGACCGCCGAGACGCGCTCCGTACACCTGTACCCTGTACACTGTACACGCGTGCCCACGCCGCCGCTAGTCGCACACCCAGACACCCCCTAAGAGACACACTGACACTCCCTCTCCCGGCGGAGCCGCACGCGTCCACTTCTCAGGCTCCCTAACACACCCATCCACAGTCGCACCTCTTACTCGCTCATCTCTCAGCCACCACACAGCGCACAAGGACGACGCGGATCCTCGTAACAACGTGTCGCCTAGCTAAAACGCACCAGCACAACGTTCAATAAATAACGATCAGGACTCAATATAGGACGAGGCGCTGGAGACGCACCGCGCAGGGCAGCGCTCTCCCAGGTAAAAGGCGGCACGCGCGGTCGGCGGGGGACCCAGGAGCACCTAGCACCGCAGGTCAACCGAGTGGCAGCCACTCACAGAAAACCAACAACTTTTGAATTAAATTCACAACACAAAGTTCCACTCTGAAACAATAATATCAAAAACCACCACTCATCCTGACGAAATTTTCTCTAAAAATCCCCTGAAGCGTAAAACATCCATTGATGCATCATCTGAAGGTTTTTGATCGCGTGTGCCACGAGCCGGTGGCCAGTTTTGCTCCGCCGGGCCGCCGCGCGCTCGCAGAGTACACTACTACCGATGGCTATCGTCCGTATTGCACGTGGCCGGCGCCGCGCGCGCGGGCGGCACGCACAACACGCGCGGAATGCTCTAGCGGTCAGCGTCATTAGGTCATGGTCACTCCGAGCGCAGTCCGGCACTTTTCGTATACCACGTACGATATGCTAACGGCCGGCGCCACCTTGAGGAAGTTGGGCGCGATGCCGCGGTACAGGCCCAGGAAGCCCTCCTGGCGCACGATCGAGCGGAACAGCGTGCGCATGTTGAGTGTTGCTGGGTCCACGCCGCCGGCCTGCTGCTGCAGAACAGCTGTAAACGCAGAACGGTGACGGTCACAAGGAGCAAGGGAGAGCCAGCTCAAACAACGGTCACATGGAGCATGGGAGCGAGGCAGCTCAGACTGAAGAATATCATTAGCAACACGGTGGCAAGCGTGTGACCACGGCGATTGGTCAGTACACGTATGATACTGGTCGGCATACACAGGACATCAAACACGGGCACCCTGGAGCGAGTAGGAACTTTGGAGACGGACAGGGAGAAATGTCGAACACCAGGTAACCAGCGGGTAGGGGCGGTCACGGAAAAAATCACTCGCTGATGGACGGGCGGCTAGGAGGCAGTCATCGAAGAGGATCACACAACAGTGGACCGGCGCGGAGGAGTCAATCACCGAGAAGGATCACTCACCGGCGGCCTGCAGACGGGTGCGGACCAGCGCCAGCGGATAGGAGTCAATCACCGAGAGGGATCACTCACCGGCGGCCTGCCTGCAGGCGGGTGCGGACCAGCGCCAGCGGATAGGAGTCAGTCACCGAGAGGGATCACTCACCGGCGGGTAGGAGGTTGTCACCGGTTAAAGAATCACTCACCGGCGGCCTGCAGGCGGGTGCGGACCAGCGCCAGCGGGTAGGAGGCGATCTGGCCGCACGTGCTGCTGACCGTGCCGCAGGCGAGCAGCACCATCACGCCCGGGTCCTCCGTCTCGTCGTGGTTGCGCAGGTAACGCTTCTTCAGCGTCTCATACACGCACAGGTCGATACCTGAGAAAAGGGAGGCGCCGACCGGTCACGCCACAGAACGCGCATAGCCATAACTTGATGAGCGCCATAATGCATTTAGGTCGTGGTATTTTCATGAGCTTTTTCCACACGACAATCCGTTTTACCAAAGAGCTATATCTACAGTTTTTTTTTTAATAATTGCTTCGACATTGGATTTAATCCGTTCACTACAAATAGGATCGGAAGGACAAAATCGTCTTTAACAGACTGAACGTAACTGATCGAATGCTACATAGCGGGCTGAAGTTCCCTATCCCCCGCGCCCTCCCAATAAGATACGGTGCCGCCTCTCTCAGGTCCCCTTATGTTATAGATCAGGCCCCGACCATTTGCCGCCCACTCACCGGCGTACGGAATGATGCCCAGCAGGTTGGGGATGTAGCCCTTGTAGAAGGCGCGCATGCCCTCGGCGTTGTAGATTTTCATCGCAGCGTCCACCATGCCCTTGTACTGGCCGGTGCGCCGCAGTGCCAGGCGAGTCTTCAACACCTGGAGGGGGCGTAAAGGCGGTCATTGGAGTGATCCTACTATAAGCAGGATAGCAGGATAGACGGGGAAGGGGGCCACAGAGTCTTGGAGCTAATGTGGCATGGTCAAGGAATAAGCAATACCACGACACACGCTCCACTGAGTAAGAATACGTAATCTTTGATAGGGTTACATCAGCTAGCGTCTGACTGAACCAAGGGGAACATTATTTACTAATGGTTCTGCACCAAACAATAATTCACTTGTGACAAATACGGTGAGATTAAGTGCGCAGTAGGAGTCCAACGTAATAACAGCAACACATAACCCATCAAACCCAGTAACGCTTCATTTGTTGGACGCGGATGACAGAAAGGTCATTCACCGATGCATGTCAGACCAATTTTCACCAAAGCGTTATTGCTTTGTGCAATGCGCATGAAAGTTCACAGAAACCCATAAGTCTCACTGTTACGAAAGAGCATTTGCATCAATCTTGTGGTTATCAATAGAGCACCGATAGTCCGCAGACTTATTTTAAGTTCAGTTCAGTTCAGTTCACTTCTGCGCAATCCAGTACCACATATGCATAGTATCCAGGATTCAGTACCACATATAGCATCCAGCTATTTCGCCGCAGCTATAGAAACCATCAATATCATGTCACCAAGAAATATTAACGAAAAGGCAGTCTTGTAGACTGTGTACTCACTACGTAGAGCTTCATATCCCACTGTCACTGGCTTTATCGCCACCGATAATTTGACACTTTTTTCGTTAGCAATCGCAATCGTTCAATCGTTCAATCGTTCAAGCAATCGCGCGGTTGCATTGTTTCGCAAAACATGGCCAGACAGCAGCTGCACAGAGAAGAAGCTGCACGGCCCTCTCACTCCCCACCGTGTCCCCACCCTCCGCCTCCACATCCGCTCCCTTACCTCCATCGGGTAGATGACAGTCTGGCTGAAGCCGCCCGCGAAGCTGCCGGCCGCGAAGCGCTCGTAGATGCTGATTTCGCGCGGCCGCTCACCGCGCAGCGCCCGCTTGGCGTACTCGTAGGCCATGAACTTGAGTGCCGACTCGGGCGCGATCTTGAGCACGTTGATGCCGTTGCCGCGCCACAGGGAGCGCACGCCTCCCTCGTTCAGCATGTGACGCAGACAGTGCTTGATGCTGGAGAAGTGAGACTTGCCGTGCACCTGGAGGGCGGCGAGAGGAGACGGATGGGTGGTCAGAATCATGTCAGGAGAAAAACAAATAAATTCAGAGTTTAGATACCGTGTAAGAGTTTATAACGAGCAGAACGTTCGAAAGGTGAGAATCAGTAATGGAGCGCTATACCTTGGACATGATTTTAACTAACTGTTGAACACATCAATGTTTCGGCAAAAACTCAAACAAGGTCGGTCCGTAACAAACACATCACTACAGCAGTCACACGAGGTGCCTGCCAGCCTAACAGTGACTTCCAGAAGCCGGCAAAAGATAGGATTCTGTCCACTCCCGCAGAGCCTCCGCCCTGACCCACCTGAAGGAACACCTTGAGCCGGTCGAGCGGCGCGGTGGCGGTGCGCGACACTGCGCCGGCCACCCCGCCAGCCAGCAGGTGCCGCCACCATAGTCCCTGCTGCAGCTCGGCCGCGCTGAAGTCGTCCGGCACGTTCAGGTCCTCGCCGATGTCCAGGTACTGCAAGCAGAGCAGACCACGTGCGTCCAGCAGGCGCAGCAGCGGGCCGGCGGCCGGCAGCGCGGCGCGCGGTAGCCAGCCGGCCAGCGGCTGCAGCGGCGGCGGCGGCGCCACCATGGCACAGGCCGCCCCCGGCCGCGACGAGCGCAGGCCCGCACCCATGGCGGCGGCCGGCTGCGGCAGCCACAGACTCCGGTCAGCGCGGTGGTAGCGGGGCGGTGGATCCGGCAGACCGGCCGCGGAGGGCGGCACAGGCGACACCCAACCGGCCTGAGAGACGCGAGAGACCGGGCGGACCTCAGTCAGAGGTCGTCCCGGTCACACGGGTCACACAGAGACGGGCAGACTGCCGCCGAGTCGCCCCTCCCCGGCCGACCAGCCGCGGACAACAGAAACCCACAGACAGAAGCCATGCAAAGAACTGGGCGAACCAAGAGCTTTGCGGCCAAACACAACATGTGCACTGCGTAATTCGAAGATGAGCAAAACACACAGCAAAATACAATATGGTGAAATAATAAGCATGAATTCACAATATGAAAGGCCGAATAAAGGTGGTGGTATTCATCAAAGGAGTCAGTGTGCTAATTACGAAATCAACAGCATGCGCAACTCAGAAAAGAACCATACCAAGCGGGACAGAGGCAAGGAGCATGCCAGGGCATTCAAAGGAGCGGGGAGCTACTTGGGTGTTGACAAGAGGGCTCACTCCTCGTCACATGCCTGACTCAAGCTACAAGACATATAAAGCAAGTAGCCAACCAAAAGGTTCGCAAAAAGACGATTTCCAACCAACCAAAAGGTTTGCAAAAAGACCATTTCCAAAGCGGTACCGTAAGTACCGTTCTAGAAGGTTCTGACTACGGATATCCCAAGATCCTGCCCAAAAAGAAGAGGAATTAGTGACTGGATCTTGCCTTGAAAGTTCCCATTCCCAGGCAGCTTAAAATCGATAGCTTTTCCTATTCACAGTGCCAGTCAGGCAGTACAAATGTGGATAAAAGGAACATGAAATGAGGCGAACCACGTTTCAACAAAGCTTTATATCGTTTGTTCGATTTGAAACTTGCTCTTGATCCAGCCTAACAAGAAACAAACATATCACCGGTACAGCTTCACACTAGACCGTATGCGCTGAGCAGGTCAGTAGCCCCTACTGCACACAGCAGCAGGGTTTGCCCGCCGCCGAGCCGTCGACAGTCGGGCGGGCGGCGTCCGGCGGCGACCGGTCGGCGGCCCTGGCTGGACGGGACACGGCGGTAGGGTCAGCGTGGACGGGGACACGGGACACACCGCCGGCGGCTGGCACACGACACACGCACAGGCATAGGCGGCTACAGAACACTGCACGGGCAGACGGGCAGACAGACAGACGGACACAGCACGGAGAGCTGATGGTCAGCGGATGTCGCAGCCGCAATGCCACAGAGAGTCCACTGACGCGTGCCACAAGGCAGACGGCAAAAGAGTTATCTTACCTGCGCTGTAGAAAGAAATGGTCTGATCTACGAACAATGCGAGTAGCTACAACGGTCAATCACACAGTTAAACAGATGCAGAGCAAGATCAAGCGGCAAACAGTACTTGGTATGTCTCAATAGGATCAGTAGATCAGAACTATGCTCGAAACAAGAGGTAGCCCCTTGAGGCGCTAAGCACACAGCTACAGCGCGACAACGCGCTCGGCTACTAAGCACACGCCAGTTGAGAGCGGCGCTGTTATGTTTAGAGAGCTACCTCTGACGGTACGAGCTGTCCAGGGACAGGGGAAGGACGGTTCCGGCAGAACGCTTACCGTTGAGTGTCGCCAGTACTGGAGGATGTCGTGCAGTTCCGAACTCGGGTGGAAGAGCAGGTAGTCGCGCCACTCGCCAAAGTTGATCACCAGAGTACCGTCTTTGTCCATACTGCAAGACGAACAATGACAGCCGTCAGAAGAACTCTAGGAAGCCGATATACTCGTAAAAGGAATTAATTGCAGATGAATTCGTGGGAGCACGGGGAGTGTGCTGGCATTAACTCGTCTAACCGAACAACTGGAGTCTGTCATTCCAGCCATTAAACCGGTGACATCTGGTATGCACCAGTCCCATGCCTTCGGCCGGTGAGCTTTATGTAAACACGGTCGGCACCCGATGTATGAACTGGCCGTGATGACGTCACAGTCGGGCAGAGCGCCAGGCTACGACTCTCTCTCCCGAGTGACAGGCAGACGAAGGACGGCCCGCGGTGGCGGCATCATAGCATTCACGGCCGGAGACAGCCGGCTCGTCAACTACCTTCGTGCCCCCGTACGTATTAAACAGTGGTCTGAGACATGCCACGCCTGCGTCAGCCGCTCAACCCCGCACCGTCTGTAAATTTACAGCCGGATAGCTTGCATTTTCACGGATGACGCTCGAGCTATTAAGCTTTTAATAGCACTGACGACTATCCGGGGTAATTCAGATGAAACATGGAAGTTGGCACGCATGCCCAAAGTCCATTGGCGAGCCATTGTCTAAGGCCAGCGTCACTTTTTTTCGTTCAAAACGAGCCTACGAAAAAGTGAAGTACTCGTACTCATCTGCGCACAAGCGTTCTAATCACAAACGTTGGCAAACATCAAATGTCCACATCTCAATTCTCCGAGTTGATCACGTTCCCGTTATCAAAAGCCGCCTGACTGAATCGTGGGCTTCCCGGTGGATTTGTCGCCGAACCACATCCACTCATAATCCGAGATATTGCGCAACAGTGCAGGCACTTCGGTGCGCAATCGCAAGGATCTTGCAGCAGCTCTGGTTAGTTTAATGGCTTTGGCTGCACAGTGCACGTGGCCATTAGGCACGGAGTGACCCAGAGGCCAGAGACTGTCCGCGTCACGGAACACGTGGCCACCGGGTGACCGGCGGGCTCACACGCTACGCGGTGGTCTTAGTTGCATGTCCATTGTCCATGGATGACCAGAAGAGACAGCAATGGCAATGGTGGGTATAATGGTAAGCATCAAAGGTGGTGATGGTAGTGTTGACAGTGATGAAGGGAGACGAAAGGTTGATGACTGTGTCGTTGCGAGCGAGGAAGGCTGGAATGGAAAGCAATGACACTGTTTATGGCAGAAGAATCATCCGGTAGTTCGGGCAGCGACCGGTCCTACCGCTAACGGATAATGAGAGTGGACCAGTCACAAACACGTGCTCACGCACTGATAAAGGTCAGAGCGTATGATGTGGGGTCCTATAGATATCAGGGAGCAGCGCGATCACCGCCGATTCAAGCAACAGGGAGCAACATTCGGCAGAAAATGATTCATTTTAGTGGAAAATTGCGCACATTTAGTACGAATACATCCCGAAGACAAATCAGATATCTATTAACGAAAAGGGTCACAGCCTGGTAGCTATCTACGACATTCGATGGAATTTCACCACCAGAGCAGTTAAGAAAATGCTCATTTCAACCATCCAACATCGAACATATTACACAAACAAATCCGTACGTAGGTATTTATTTATTCCTGGATTTAATTTCCTCCCATTTTTATAGACCCCGTCCCCCTATATCCTACCCGTAGACAGCCCATGAACTCACCGCTCAAGGAGCTTCCTGGCCTCGCCTCTGGTGATCTTCAGTCCGAGTTTGTGCAGCGAGCTATAGATCTCGTCCAGATCCAGCCGACCTGCCGCACACAGCGCACCGTTCGTGTCAGGACCGTCCCGCGCGTCACACACACTGCACCACTACCCCTCACACTCCGCCGGGAGAGAGTGCCGATACAGACAGCGGACGCCAGTGCCGGGCCGAGCCGAACCCGGGAACCGGCCGGCCGCCGCCTGGACCCCGGTGACGTCAGAGGCCCAGCTGCCGTGACGTCACCGGGTTCCCGGAGTTCGCGGAACGCAATGAGTGAGGTATAGCGTCACCGCAGATCTACGCAGAGGCCCGGGCGGGCGGTATGCCGCCGAAATGGAAAGGGAAATACCAGCCCGAGGCTGGGATCTGTAAAGCCGCCGGTAAAGGCGCCGCAACAAGTGGCAGACGGAGGTCTGCCCAAATCTAGCTTGCGTTTTCATGTCAGCACTTTGGACGGGAAGGTTGGTGGATCATACAGGACTCGGCAGGTCAGTAGCAGTCAATGTAACTTTTAGCGTTCCATCTCCATCCCTTATCCACATGGGTTAAGAGCGGACGGAGGGCGATGGGCTTTGTTTATCGAATCGTGCAATCTCTGGGATCACCGTTCAGTCGAGCACGAGCCGCGCGCGTGACGGTACCGGCACCACAGCGCCACCACTGACGTCAGAGGTGACACTGCACAGGTGAGCCAATGATAAGGCGGAGAAGAGCCAATGTCCTGGGTCAACACTGACAATACAGGCAGGGTTTGTAAACAAACAGCAGCGCCAAGGTGGAGGAGGAAGGGAGGCAGGAAAAACTGGGCATCGCTCTTGCAGTGACAGTGAGGGCCGAGGGGTCATTGAGACAACTCTGCATAAGTAAGCAGCGAACACATTTGGAGAGGAGTGCACGGTCACAGTGTCAATAAACGCCACGTCAGTATCACGAGACTCTATGCTGCCGTCCAGTGTCCATCCCTCCCCTGCCCCGGCGAAGGATGGGGTAAGGAGATCTAGCGGCTTGACTTTCCTCAATACTTTTCGCCCATCCCCGTCCCACAAAAACAACAATGACTTTATCCTCCCTGGTCTGCTCGATAGCCTTGTCTCATAGTGGCTTATGCGAACAGTTCTACTGACTCCTTGCCCGTATGTCCTCCGAGCTCCCCACAACGAACCCCCTGGCTACACTGACTACGGCGGCACGTGACCGTGGCGTGACGGCAGCGTTCCGTGAACCGCCGTCTGCCGCACCCCGTGCCGGCCGCCCCGTGTCCCTGTTGTGACCGCACCGCTGAGTACACGGTCCGAGCGATCTCAGAGTCAATCCCAGAGGGCGGTCATCGGTCAGCGATCGGTCACCGCGCCCAGGGACCACCGATAAGATAGGGCCCGACGTCCCACACAGATCCATCGCAATTTCAAATGTGGCCGAAACCTCGAATAATGACCATTTGTAAATTCCTTCAGTGAGTGATTTTTTAACACAAAACAGATTGAAGCATCTGAAATCACCTTCGGCATATTTTTTAACCACCTGATCTCCGCTCACCGCAGTCGTGAACCTGGAACTTCTTCGGAAGCGCATGGTAGACCCAAAAAACATGTGAAACGCGCGCAACTTTGAGTGACTGTAACATTGTAATAATTTGCTCGAAACCGCAATAAATGGGCATCGCTATGTTGCATGGTTCGTGCTGAAAATTTTGGTACCAAAAATAATGTTTTAGCTCGTCATCAATGCCATGCTAATTAGCAATTTTCGGGCACATGCATCACAGTCCGCATTTTCACTCATCGCATACTTGACAAAGGCCTACAAGAAAATCATCAATCACCCCCCAAAATTCGAATGGCTTAAAATGAGCCTTAGAACGTTCACAAACGGTTCCCGAAAGAATTAGCTGGGCATCAGTGGTCAAACTTTAGCTCTGGGGGCAGAAGTGATGTGATGTCGGGCGGATTCGGCCGGCCGGCTGACCCGCGAGTCAGCGTCAGCTGTTGCTAGGCTGGGTCAGGGTCGACCGAGGTCAATATTGGCTGGTTACCAGTGGGCGTCTGCTTGAATTTGGTAAGAGTATGAAAAGTGCAAAATATGAAATCAATCCGACGCGTTTTGATATGTGCGCCTTTACTTTGAAATTTTTCACAAATGCATTGGAGGTAAAAAAATCAACATGTGAAAAATTGTTAAAAATTTAGGCCTATAACACGTAAAATGATGAGAGGATTCCAAATCTGGTCGCAAAATTCAAATCGGAGAACATTTGACTCCTGTTTTGGCCAAAAACTGTCCAAATTTGCCCAAATTGGATATTTTGCATATTTTCGACAGTTTTTTTTTGCCAAAACAGGGGTCAAATGTTCTCCGATTTGAATGTTACGACCAGATTTTGAATCCTCCATCATTTTACGTATTATAGGCCCTAATTAGTAACGAGTTTTACATTTTCATTTTTGACCTCCAATGCATTTTTGAAATTTTTTTCAAAGTAAAAGTGCACATAGTAAAACGCGTCGGAATGATTTCATATTTTGCCCTTTTCATACTCTCACCAAATGCAACCAGACGCAGGAAGGGAACCGATGATCCCAGACAAAAGTGTTTTTTTACGAGCCCTAAAATAATCCCTCTTCAAAATTTCGCGTATCGCAAAAAAAATGTGGTTTAAAATGGCAGAAATATTTCTCATTTTCTAAGAGCGTGATTCATCTGCTTTCATTTGAGCCCTCTATCACATCTCTAGCTTCCGTAGTTTTTGCGCTAGAGGTTTTGTCCACATTTGAATTCGAGATGGACCTGTGTGCGTCCGTCTGTCCGCTAAACACTGCGTGGTAGTGGAGCTCGCTGGTGAGAGGGCAAGTCTCCCCCGCCCAGCTGACACATCGCGGGGGGCACACGGGTCAGGAGGCTATCTTTCGAGAGCACAATATCCGGGCTGGCCGCTACAGCCAAGAGCAGTGATAAGATGGCACTGCGTGGTCTTGCGTAAAAGTCTCAAGAGTGATAGAGAGAAACGGCTTGGGATGCGTCGCCATATGGGGAGCACGGAACTCCGGCCGGGCACCCAGGTGACAGCCTCGGGGCGACCTCGAGACGCTAGCAGGGACCGCGGATTCAAATTCTCGTAGGGTGTGCAAGATGTGGCGATTGGGCCCCCATCTCACGCCGGGCCCCTTCCAAAAAGTCAGCGCCGCCACTGCTCCGGAATAAGCCGGTTCTAAGGAAGCGGGACGGGAAAACCTTCAAAATTGACGGTCGTAAGATGACTGAGCGAGCATCTTACGGTCAGGAGATGCATTAGCAGAGTAAATGCACATGCATGCATGCAACGTGATCCAAATCGATCTCCGATTTTCCCAAACAGGCCCCTAAAGGCTTACAGTGGCCTTCAAGGGCCCCTACGGGCCTCAGAGAGCCCTTTTGCACAGTTGATGTTGGTACACTTCTTTTTATCATGGATTACATGAATTAGTTTAAAAATAAAACACGGCCGGCGGGATGTTTGGGCCCATCGATTTGGCCCCTATGACCTATGGGGGTCTGGCCTCCGGCCCCCTTAGCTTCCCCATTGCTCTACGGCCCACACGCTGGCTTTGGGGCCCCATAAAGGCCGCACGCCAGCTCCTGAGACCCAACGCCGGCAATTCTAAGGGTCACCGGCGCACCGCACACGGTCTTTGAAGGTCCCATAACGGCCTCTGGAATACCTCATGTACATAGAAATATGGATGCCCACGCCGCTTCTTGGGCCCCCACACCGGGCTCTTTGACACCGTTCGCCGGCTCCATGGGGTACCAACTACCACCAAGCAAGCTCGCCTGGAGGTCCCCCACCGTCTCTTGGCGCCCGAGTAGCCTCGATGCCTGAATAGGGCCCCGAGACATCGACATTGGCCAAAACGCGTTCGTGTAGGCCCTCAGAAACTGGTGTGAGCCCTGAGATTACTGTGTGGGCTACTCAGGCACTTCTGTCGGGTCATCATGCATCGATTTGGGTCCGAGCTAGTAAGGGTTATCAGAAGCATCCTTTAGCCCTGCGACTTCAGAGGTTGGTGTGAGATCCTAAAAAAGAAAGTGAGGGCACTCCGAGGCTTGCAAAGGGCTTTTCCTCGGAGGTCAGCCTTGGCCGAACGGCGTTCCTCAAACTGGTGTAGGGCGCTGAGATTACTGAATGTGACTCTCGAGTATTGGCATGGGGCCCTCAACTATCAGCACGGAGCCCTCAGGAGCCGGTAAGGGCTCCTCTGCGGCATGCATAAGCCATCCTATCTCAGATGCCGGTGTGAGATCCTAAACAAGAGCTGAGTGCACTTAAAAACCTGCGCAGGGCCCTCAGAGATCAGCTTTGACCAGACGGCGGTCGTGGACGCCCTTAGAAACTGACGTAGGGGCCGCCTCAGTCGGTCGGCCCTCTCACATCAGCCTGGGGATCTCAGGAATCGGCCTGGGGCCCTCAAGAGCCGGTTAGGGTCCTCGGAAAGTGGCATTATACCCTGAGATAGCTGTGTAAGGCCCTCGGGTAACGGCTAGGGGCCCTCGGGCATCGGCCTGCGCCCCCGGGCATTGGCCAGAGGTCCTTAGATATCGGTCTGGGGCCCCTCAAGAGCCGGTGAGGGCCTTCAGAAACTGGTATGGGGCCCTGAGATAACTCTGTGGGCTTTCAGTTGCTGATGCAGGACCCTTAGGCATCGGCCCCAAGAGGGGTTAAGGAGGGCAGGGGGCAAGGGGCCCTCAAGAGCCGGTTAGGGCCCTCAGAAACTGGCGTGGATCCCTGAGCTAGCCATGTAGGTACTCAGACACCGGCGTGGGACCTTTAGACATCGACTTGGGGCCTTCGGGCATCGGCCTGGGCCAGTGGCGCGGGAACCGGGGGGGGGGGGGGCTAGCGGGGGCTGAGCCCCCCAGCTTTTCGGCTGGGGGGGCTCGTAATGTATTTACTATTTGAGCCCCCCCCCCCCAGCTGGAGGAATCGAAATCGGAAATCTACCAACATAATTTCATAGAGTCATACATAGGCGCGGGAACCGGGGGAGGGGGCAGTGGGGGAAGCTTGCTCCCACAACTCTGCGGCCGTGGGGGCGGTGCCCCACAACTTTTCATGAGGCCAGGAACCGTTGGGCAGCTTGTCATTCCCAAATTAGGGGTTGTGGGTCACAAAGGAAGAAAGCATGTAAGTGAAAAACCCACCTCTTTCACTGGCTCGGCACTCATTTGACAGATTAAAACCTTTACTCCAGGTTGTCAAAATGGTAGTTTCTTCACTCAGCTCAGCTCTTTTTTTTTGTTGAAAAGGCCAAAGTCTGAAAAATAAGTGGCCTAAAACCGGTGAGAAAACTAGATTTGGGGGTACCCTAGGTTGATCTCTATTATGATTCAGCCCCCCCAGTCTGGAAGAAGTTCCCGCGCCACTGGCCTGGGCCCTCAAGAGCCGGTGGGAGCGCTAAAAAATGGCGTGGGTGGGGTTCTGAGATAACTCCTGAGATAACACTAGAACCTGTTCACGCCTTCAGGCACCGGTGCGGGACCATCAGGCTCGCGCTGGGGCCCTCGAGAATCGGCTTGGGACACTCAAGCGCCAGGGCCGCATGGGCCCCCACAACGAAATGTGGGTGTGCAAAAATAGGTGTTTGCACACCCTCAGGATTTTCAGGGTGTGCAATTGCACACCCTGCCCCCCGGAATCCGCGGTCCCTGGACGCTAGACTCCACGGGGACGCGACTGGGGCGTTACACGGGAACCGGGAGAGCCCCTGAGCCCGGCGGCGTCTGTTACCACCCAGCGTCGGCCCCGACATCTGCCCCCGGAGATGGCATCAGCCGGCCGAGCAGGACCGTTACACCGGGGAGCCGACACCATCAGATGTTCCGCACGAGGCAGACAGGTGACCCCAGACACTACACAGAACACAGGTGGACACAGGGGAACACCCATCGAGCGTCGCACAAGGACGAGTGATAATACAACAAAACACGCCTGAAGGCTGAAGCAGGTCCAATGCCGTGTCCCTACTTCCCAATCAAGCTCATGCATACAACGAACTAAGTCCCACTGAGAGTCCCGTGTATAATACCTATAGGAACCCACTTCACTATACACTTCACTAATACAATAGATAAAATACAGTACAAAGCACAAAGGGCACACCAAACATGCACAAAAACTGACATGTGTCGCACGAGACCAAAACACGCAGATATACGCAGAAGATCGAACACGTCAGTTCGCCCTCTCCGAGGAACGACAAGTAAGCATACAAAGCAAAAAAGTCAAACATGTTCGTCTCCGCTATCACACGTCGCAACCATTAGCCGGGAAAATACGCAACTATTGAAGATTCCGAGCTTTGCTGCTCGTCGGGTATAGTAACCATAGACGATTCACGATTAGTGACAACCATTGTATGATTTACGCCTCCCAGAGTACTCTGAGAAATATTGACGAGGTAAGCCATTATATCCGATCTTCCCGATCCCTCGCTGGTGATTAGCAGCCTTTTGATGGCGACAGAGGCAGACGACACAAGACACATTCAGGTAACGAAACTACTGAGATCTATGACACAATTCCTTATGTTTCCAGATGGCTCAAGATTGTGGCAGTTACATGAAAAACGTGAACAAGCGGAGCAGTGCTGCGCACACCACTAGTACGACGAATAGGAAGCAAAAACTCAAAGGCTGATAATAAGCAAACATGACACCTGCGCAGCATTCCGCTTGCCTCACATCATTATATTCTGTAACTATTACCTTACGTCATCGTGTTATTAGCAACGCATCACCTCGGCGCCGACAGACTAGTGCGACGCACATCTATCAGGCCGGAGAGTGCGGCAGCACGCACCTATCCGCCCTTACGCACAGAGAACATTTACACCTTCCCTCCACCCGCATCTGCACACACGTCACCCCCCCCCCCCCCCCCCCTCGCGCCCAGCTGACACCCACGCTAAATGCTCAGCGGGCGTACGCAAATGGCCAAACATTATTCATAAGCACGATATGATGGGATAAAATGACAGGTAAAGGTATTAAGCGTCACCGCTCCGTAATTAATACCTCACGTTAATCTCATATAAACATACATGCACATGAATCCACTAATGCTAAGAGCTCCGAAAGTTCTATCTTTTGCCAAATTAATTCAACACGTAACGAATGGTGTGTCTATTTGATACGGGATTCACAGTTCCCGGGCTCCTTTTCACAAGAGCAAATATTTCTTTAAAAAAAACATGTTAACTGCAAGAAAAAATATAACCCTCCGTAAGCTTTCACAGGTATGGGTGTTACTGTTTCGTAAGCCAGAGGGGAACCGGAACAATAACCTGGGTTTTGAAGAATATTAGTTGTGCGTGAAATAGTCTGCTACTTGTCATGTGTTTGAAAATTGAGTTTTAGCCCGACATGACAGCAGGCACTCATAAAAACATGTTACAGGCGTTTTGGATTTTTTTTCGACAGATCAACATATTCCAAAAAAAAACCAACATTACGTTTCATACCACGGCGTGTTACAAAGAAATATGATGAAGGTTTTCACTTCCAATTAATTTTTGTGATTGCTGTGTCAAATAGCCCGGTCGTGCATTACCCTACGCTCCTAACGCCTTTCGTTGGCTTGACTTCCCAGCACATTCATTCTCCGCCCAGCACGGTATCTCATCCAGCACCCACACCTGAGTGTACTCAGTCCCCAGTCCAGCTCAGTCCACCACCACCTCAGTACACCCAGTCCCAGTCCAAATCAGTCCACCCAGTCCCAGTCCAGCTCAGTCCACCCACTCCCCGGGGCAGCTCAGTCCACCCAGTCCCAGTCCACCCAGTCCCAGTCCAGCTCAGTCCACCCACTCCCCCGGGTCAACTCACCGTCCTTGTTGTGGTCGAGAGAGCTGAAGACGAGCCGCAGCTTCTTCTCGTGCTCGATGACGTAGTGCACGAACTCGGCCAGCGTCAGGTCGCCGCTCTGGTTCTGGTCAGAGCGCTCGATGAATTTCTGAACGAAAGAAAAACAGCATACGGTCAGCCTGTGCAGATTCGCACAGCAAGTGGTTAATCAATACGCAGGAGCTAATGATTACCAGGCCAACCAAATGAAAGGACAATGCATTCCTATAATTAGTTAAACCGTAAAGATGGAGATTATTACATTCCATACATGGATTTTGGTCAGAAGCGTATTATGACGACCAATAAAACGAAAATAATAAGAACTTGCATGAGCTACAACTGCAACTTAAATAATTATATGAGAACTTAATTCTGTATTGAATGCCTAATGAATAACAAACAACCATTTGATTCTACTTCAATGCGAGTTACAAACTCTGAGAAAACAGATAGCCAACTTCAGCGGTGAAGTCAGCGAGTGAGTTGGTGGAAAATCATCTATTGCACGGAGCCGCTCCCGGCGCTGTGCCGACCGCGCTGCTGCCGACGCCCGATCAACTTTGCATCAAGCCTCACTGACTATCGGCGCCGTTAACGCACCGGTCACGAGGCAGGAGCATCCGGCCGCGTGATGTCGGCTGCGCGTGGCTCCCAGTCGCAAGGCAAGGCACGAGGCGGATCAGCAGTCTATTGAACCCCTATTATCTCAATTTCCAGCCTAGGCGCCGGGGCGGGGACACCGGTCGCCGGTCGCAAAGGACTCGCTAATCCCTTCTTTTGCCCTCGCCGCCCCGACCCATCGGCCGTGTGCGGCGCCAGACTCGCGCACAATCCCCGTCCTTTGTTCGGGAGACGCGGGTCCACCGCGTGGTCGGTAATGGGTGCGTGTGTGAGTGCGGGGACGGCGTAATCTGGCGTCATGTGTCGTCCCACGTGGCCCCAGCGCCACCCTGTTCTGACGGACTGCTGGGACGGGATACTGACGGAGGAAACCCTGTGGGAACGCTGGTGAAACGTAGCTGTAAGCTGGTCGTCCGCTCTCACGACGATGGTAAGTCTGCTGTCACTCAGTGCGATAATGAGTAGTGGGCACTGGTCAGTGGTCATGTGAAGTGGGCAGAGGACAGACTATGGGCATTGGATAAGGGACGGGGGACAGATGCAGGTCTACAGACATTCGCCTCCCGGCTCCAATCGTCAACAAAATTCAACGTTCAACGGTCGGTCGAGCGCAAAAAGCCTCTCATCATTCATTCGCCCCATAGGACATCGCGCAAAGGTGGACAGACGAATATGGACTATCTAGAATCGACTGAGAGCCAGACGCGGCACCAGAGTGCGTCACATGTTCTCACATTCGTCTGAGCGCTGCGCACTTTTGTATAAACACAGCCCCCCCCCCCCCCCTGCACTGTTACATAAGAGCTGCACTGTTGAGCTAATATGCCATGTTACATAAAGTGGGACAAGATGATGAATATACCGATTTGGCGTTTGATACCGAGAAACGGGAGACAACACACGTAATTTTTCGTGTAAAATAGCGGTTAACTTGATGCCTAACGACGAGCTAACCGGCATGGGAACAGATTGCTTTGGTCTGCCAACAACTCATCAAATTATTTCACGTTGCCGCTAAAAAGCCAAGCTTTCAGACAACGTTACACTACAATCAACCAGCAAATTAGTCTCTGGGTTAAAAACTCAAACCTGTCCGGGCGACTGGCCACGTTACGTCAGTGGCATAACGTTTACATTACAGCGTCGACTCTAAACAGACTGACCGAGTTCAGCCGAATCAGCGCGGCACTGCCATCGGTCGGCCACGACGGTCACATTCCGGTGACAGCTCGCGCTCAGAGATCACGCGCCGTGGTTTAGATAGCCGCCGCCCACCTCGGATGACGCGCAGTTCTTACCGGGAGCATCAGCTGACAGCCACTACGCACTGAGCCACAAAGGTCACACCGGCCAGTCAAAACATCGAGCGAACAACCTCCGGCCACAACATGGAGCGCACATCCACCGAACACCACGGACGTCGTCTGACAGGGCTTGGTTTCAGCACCATTCACCTTTCCAGTAACGTCAGCGTCATCCGCAGCGGCCACCTCCGGCCAATCCCGTGTCGGCGGAGAGAGGGCAGAGTGCTGGCCGTGACCCATAGCAGTCGGGGAAACTATGGTAAAATCTGCTATTTTTAGCAGTCTGCTATTTTTAGCAGAAATCTGCTAAAAATGGGTACGCATGTGACGTCATCGTACCCAAATATAGCAGATTTGGGTACGGCCCCATACAAAAGCAGATCTGCACCCTAATTGAAGCAAATGCGCATCAAATGCCTGGCAGATTCATGATGAGAATAGTGCTGAGAGTGATCTCTGCTATTTTTGTTCAGATCCGACTATTTTCAAATTCATTATTTGAAAATAGTCGGATCTGAATCAAAATATCAGAGGACATTCTCAGCACTATTCTAATCATGAATCTGCCAGGCATTTGATGCGCATTTGCTTCAATTAGGGTGCAGATCTGCTTTTGTATGGGGCCGTACCCAAATCTGCTATATTTGGGTACGATGACGTCACATGCGTACCCATTTTTAGCAGATTTCTGCTAAAAATAGCAGACTGCTAAAAATAGCAGATTTTACCATAGTTTCCCCGACTGATAGTGGCGGTGGGCCCCCCTGGCCCACTGCCACGGCGCGCGGACCCGGCCGGCAGCTGACCCGCCCAGCCGACCGCGCCAGGACCGTCCAATATGACCCGGGTGGGCGGTTGAGCCGGGACCGCCCCTCCAGGCACCCGCACGGCGCACCATTAGCACAGGGGCGAGTCGCCAGGCCCAAAACCAGACTACCCCACCACTGGAGGCGGGTAGTGAGTTGCTGGGACCGGTATACCGGACTCTTTTGATCTGACACTGGGCCCGCGTCGACCGCCGATATGCCGCCAATGCCAGTCTGGCCCACGGGACGACTGGGTCGGACACTACTCTCACTGATCGACCAGACACTACACACGGCGGTCAGTCTCTCCTGAGTGGCTCCTCGTACGACATAGCGGGCCTGTGCCGCTGTCTGGCTATGTCAGCGCTGCTGACGCCGGTGGCACAGAAGGGTCTGAGTCAGCACCCACCCCAGCCATGACCAACCCCAAAATCAATGATCAGCAGACGACGAAAAACGCCACGGTTGCAGAATCCCTTCCCTGCGGGGGACGTCATTAACGGTCACGTTTCCATCGAGGTGGCGACATCACAAACTGAAGTGGCGGTCAGTACATCGATACGGATCCTCCAGACAGTGTATTCCAATTAGGTAGAACAAATGAGCACCCAGTGGACTCATAAACACACTTCTTCAACGACAAGTCGCCGCATTAGGACATCGCATTGGTCTACTCAGTCTGACCAGAAACTGCACTACTCTGTTGTATAAACCAAAGACGGCGTGGCGAGCTGCGGGGGTAAAGGTCAGCTGCCTGTTAGTGCCGCGTCATGTCATATTCGAGCGGCCCGGATAGGACACGCCCCCCTCTGGGCCGCGGCTGGGCACGTTCCACTGACTGGGATACGGAGCCCGCACACCACGGAGCGGAGGGTGTGGTGTACGGGCACGGCTGGCGGCACTCAGCTGATTTCTCGTATTAACAAAATGTTGGAATTGCATTTATTCTGCTCAATGAAGTGATTCCGGACCACGTTACGGCCTTGTTTCATGCAATTATGTCGACGAAGTTTGAACATGATATGCTAGTGTGCCAACTGCAGCGAGCACGCCCATTTACTCAGCTGTCCAAGCCGGTGCTTGAGACTGTCCATCATCCAGGTCACAGGATAGGTCATGAAAACGTCGTGCCCTTCGTTGGACGAGACCGTCCAGCCAGACATCGACCCCACCACCGGCGACACGCCCCCTCTGGACAGACGCCACGCCCCATCCGCAGACGCCACCCGCTTCCATAGAACCCGGGCTAGCTGCAGAGCTTGTACCGCGCTGACACCACCCGCGGACCGTATTACACATTCATACGGATGGATCGTGATACAGTGTCGCCAGGCAGACGGGGACGGTGGACGACAGGCTGCACTCCGCCCGCGACCGGTACCGGGAGGACACGCCGACCAGTACTGGGCAGTTACACCGACCAGTTCCCAGAAATCGGTACATCCATCGATAGACGTGTGGAACTTAACATGCAGAATAGCACTCATCGAAACATGGCTATTGGATAGCCTGGTGCGCACTACCCAGAATGGCATTCAGACCACTCAAACTCAATACAGAAATTTAATTTGGTTACGTAACACATCAGCCAAAATAAACAAACTTATCCTCCCGACTTTCGCACTCTTTCCGACAAACAGGAGTCAGTGCGGTCAGCCTGTGCGCCAAAGCGGTGTATAGTCTGTATCGTCGAACGGTGCCTGGGTGTGTGTGTGGGGGGGGGGGGGCTCTGTGTATATAGCTCCACCATCGACGCCTGGTGGCCCAGTGGGGGGCGGCACGGAACAACATCGGCACGCCAGTCACGGACTGATCGGAGTGGCAGCAAATACACCGACCGCACCAATTAGAAGGGGCCGGCAAACAGCACGTGCAGAGATACGAGGGGGTTGCTCCGAGGAGGTTACGGGAAGAGATACCCGTAACACTGATGTCACCGATAAACACGAGAAACAGAATAAGAGTTGGATAATAAATATGAAATTAAATGAGTGAAAATACCCGTTGGTTTCTGTGAAACGATGTAGCTATGCAACAAGTTACAAGGTAATGCTTACAAATCCGCATGAAGCCAAACGGACCTAACGGGTCTCGAGGTCGACCAACGACATGTCCTGGCCATGACCATAGCTGTTATCACCCATACATGGATGACAATGTCACATGGACGACAGCTGCTCCTCTGTCTCGTCGAAACTCAAACACCGACCAGTCATGGGTGTATGACAGACCGGCTGAGCTGCCATGCTCTGCCCGTCTCGCCCTGCCCCAGCTGCGCCGTCTCACCGGCCGCGGCAGGACACGGAGGAGCGCCAAGACACCGGTGACCTTGACATTGGTGACGGCAGGACCCCCTGCGCACACCGCCCGTCCCC